CTCGGTCCGCCGCCGAGCCGGCACGTGGGCAGCGGGTCTGGGACTGCGGACGGGGGAACGTGGAGTGGGAGCCAGGAGGGCGTCCGGGACGGGCTCTTGGCATCTGTTGTGCTGGGCCTGGGGGCCTCTCCTCTGCCACAGGGGTCGGTCTATTCCATAATGACTTTTCATGGTGCCATTGATAGTCTGTCAACGCGGAGAAACAAAACGTACACCCAGAGGGCAGACAGATGTGCCCGGGCTTCAGCTCGGTGCCGTCGGGTGTGGAAAAGCACCTGGCCATGGATCAGTCTTCCTCTTTCCAAACGATGCAAACTTAGAATCATAGAATCATAGAATGGTTAGGGCTGGAAGGGACCTTCAAAGGTCATCTAGTCCAACCCCCCTGCAAGGAACAGGGATATCTCCAACTAGATCAGGTTGCTCAGGGCCTCATCCAACTGGGCCTTGAACGTCTCCAGGGATGGAGCATCCACCACCTCTGGAGAGGTGGTGGATGCTTTTTGTCACACGTTTATTTCCACAGCATCTCGAATAGCAAACACGAGTCAGAAAGAAAGAAGGAAAGACAGAGAGAACGCAAGAGGAGAGAAAAACGCACCCGGATTTAGTGTTTGCAAACTTTGTCAAAAATCTTGGCATTTTTGCGTTTTCCATGGCCGTCTGCCTGCCACTCCCCGTGCTGTTGATCGGCAGAGGCTTCTCCTGGCCGCCCATCCCTTGGCCAGGTCGCCCATCTGCCTCCGCTTGGTTTGGCCAACGGGCAATCACAGTTTCCAAATTTCCCCTGCTGTCCTTCACCTCCTGGTCCGTACGGACCGTGTGGTGGGAGAGCAGAGCCGAGTCGTTACCCAAAGGGGCTCCAATTAGTGTTCCCTCAGTGGTGTCCCCCGCTCCTGCCCTGGCCCCGCGCCCCTCCGGCTCGCTTTCCAGCCCCATGGACGCCGGGTGGTTATGGAAAAATTGTGTCCCCTGCTCCTGCCCTGGCCCTGTGCCCCTCCAGCTCGCTTTCCAGCCCCACGGACACCGGGTGGTTATGGAAAAATTGAAATGCGAAGCGCCGTTTTCGAATTCCCGTCCTCTGCATTCCGTAACACGTGAGGCGAATTTCTCAGCGTGCGTGTGATGCAACGACTCGATTCGTTAGGAGCGTTTTCGAGGTGATGACCCGTGAATGATTACAAGGCTCCCACAGCATAATTGCATCCAATTCTTTTTTTTTTTTGGCTGCCTCTGGGCATGAGTAGCGCCTACTGATTACACAGAGTGAGCAAAAACCGGTTCCCTAAAGTCTGTCTGCTCAAGTCAAAGGATAAACGCTCCTTACAGCGAATTAGTCTTTCAAGGTAATTTAACAAAATTCATCTTTTGCGAGAGGAAGGGAATTTCTGCCGTTTCCGTGTGGAAACAAGGCTGATATGAGGATTATAGCGTGCAGGGGTGTGGGGTGTCCGGTGAGATCTTCCTCTTGTCCTCTACCCTTGGTCGTTACACACACAGTTGGCCACAGGGTAGTCCTTTTCCCTCCGTTGCCATCACAGAGCTCCCCTCCAGTTCCTCCTCTTTAATTTAGTGGTGGTGACCAGTGCGGTTCGGGAGGAGAAGATCCGTTTTTGTCTTCCCTGGCATTGCTGATTTGTGTGGGTGATTGTATCTGTCCAGCGGAACGAACACCAGCCCCGCTGAAAGCCAAGCGCGGCTGTGCCCGGCCTGTTGGCTGAGTTACTGGGGGTGTCAACGGGTGGGGAGGGTCCTGTTTGCTCATCACCCCCACTGGCTGGAGGTCGTGGCGTTGATGGCTCTCTGGCTGATGTTCCTCCCTTGCCTGCCCAAGCAGGTTCCCATGCAGAAGGCACCAGTTCTGCCTCGGTTCCGTGGGTCGGTTGAAAATCCAGGATGGTTTTGGCAGAGCCTTGTGCCACTGGGTACATTTTGCAAGAGTGCTGAGCGCGCCGTGGTGGCGGAGCTTTTCATTTCCCAAATGAAACTCGCTGATGTCATTCCTGATGTTGCTGTTTCGTCTTTGCTCTCTTCCAAAGGTGATGGTCAGAACTTGGTTACTGAAGACGTGACGGTGGTGGAGGGAGATGTCGCCACCATCAGCTGCCGAGTCAAGAACAGCGATGACTCGGTGATCCAGCTGCTGAATCCCAACAGACAAACGATTTATTTCAGAGATTTCAGACGTAAGTTTCATCTTCCCTCGTTTGATGGCAACTCGCTCGCGCTCGGGAGAAAGCATTTGCAGAGATCTCTTCTTGTACCACAGTGCTGGACACTTAAAGTTTAGTCGATTCTTCAGAGGGTAGATGAGACAGGCAATCATAATCTTTCTCCTTAATGGAAACCTTGATGGTCCCCTTCAAAAGTCAGACCGTCCTACTTTGCGATAGGAATTGATTGTAGTAATTCAGGGTGAATTGCAATTGAGTGCCAAATATTTAGCTGACACAAACAAATTGAATGGGGCAACGCCGAGACGGCGCAGCGTTCTCAGAGGTCATCTGTTTGGTTCGAAGACTGAACGTTTCAAGACAGTCTATGCCTCTTTGTAACCCAAACAAAATGCCCCGTCGCTGCCATGTCCGGCGAATGAGTCTGGGTTTGTTGCCTGTCGGGAGGATGCCGTGTTGTGGAAACGCACGGCAAACTGGTTCTCCTCCAAGGCGCCGTCTGATCTCGCAATGTTCGCGGCTGGAGCTGGGTCACTCCGCTCGCGCCGCTGTTCCAGGCCCGTGGGTTCAGCTGGTAAGACCTAAACCGCTCGATTTCCAAATTCTGAAAAGAATTGGGGCAGCTGTTACTGCTCAGGAAACAGATTTTAAACTGCGCTTTTCCCAGTTCTTTTATCTTCACACTGACCCTCATCCGCTGACCGCACGCAGGCAGGAACGGGTCCACGTAGAAGTGGATTTTCACAACAAGCGTTTCACCTACGCGTCCCTAAGCCATCTGACAATAAAACCATCTCCAAAGATCTGATGCCGTACCTGGCGATTTGCTTATGTTGATTCTTTGTAATGATCTGGGACCAGAAACGTTTGATAGGTCCAGACTTGAAGGTAAGGATGGAAGCTCAGTCAGGAACCCGTGGGTGCTTGTTGAGATGCTGCTTTTATAGACCTTTGGCTTGGTTGTGTGGTGGGAGGGGACGCTGCGTCTCCCGTCGCAGTCACTAAGGGTGTGCTTGCTCTACAGCACTGAAGGACAGCAGGTTCCAGCTGGTGAACTTCTCCAACAGCGAGCTCCGAGTGTCCTTGACAAACGTCTCCGTTTCTGATGAAGGAAGATACTTCTGCCAGCTCTACACCGATCCGCCCCAGGAAATCTACACCACGATCACAGTGCTCGGTACGTACGCGCAGGTGTAACAGCGGTGTTCTCCGCTTCCGAGCCGCTCTTTTACCTGGGCAGGTCACTCGGAAAGGCTGCGAGGGTTTCCTGACTTGCATGGAGGGGGATCTAATGCCAGCCTTCGTTAGCAGACAGCCCACGAGGACTAGTCGTTGGTGCTGCTGCTGCTCTGTAAGAGTATCTAGGTGACTCGTTTGGCTTTTCGGGCAAGCCTGGACCTGCGAACGTCCTGGAAGGAACGTGCGTCCAGCCTGAGGCTTGGCAGCAGGGCACGAGCTGCGCGAGGCGAGCCCTCCTCCCGCGTCTCTCCTCTCTCGGCGGGGAGCGAAGGCACGTTTCCTTGCAGGAAGGGACGATGAGTTGCAGCGGTTGCATCTCCTTTGGCGAAGTGAGAAAGAAGTCAGCCAGAAAGTAAAAGCTGTAGAAAATGTCTTGTGATAATTATCTGCTGCATAGAGGGAAAAGAGATGAACGCAAATGCTTCGTAGTGAGTAGAACCGTTGAGCTTATGAGCTTTGTGTTTTCAGTCATCAGAGGACTCTGATCACATTTCTTCCAAAACTTGGGGGTTTGAGGGATGACACGCTCATGACGAATGACAGCATCTCTGCCCGTCGATGGTGTTCCTTGAGGGCAGATGTTGCTGACAGCGTCGCTGGTGAACCTCCCGCTGTTGCGAAGATGCGTCAGCTTTTGCGTGCGTGTCAGCTGGCTCACATCTTCAGCGGAACCGTGAGCTCAGCTCATGGGAAGTGATACCTTCCTGTTCATTTGAGCAAAAACTTGTTTCACCTAGATCTCTCGCTCGACATCCCAAGTTTGCTCGTTCACTCAGGGACAAGAAGTTGTTTCTGCCCCACCTCCCCTCCCGTGCCCGTGCAGCCGCGAGCAACGCGGTGACCGGCATGTTCTGCAGAGTAGTGGCGGCGTTTAAGGCTCCATTAATGGGAGAACCTGGATCACAGAGGGTGACTTAATGCGAGATCTCCCTCGCTGATTAGTTTCAGTCTTCCTCCTTTTCCTTAATGAGATTTGGTTCCCGGGTTTTTATACGTTGTTTAAATAATGTTTATAAGCAGTTCTGCTATAGCTGTTACGTTTGGCAACATCTTCAAAGTTTTAGTGCGCTTTCCAGCATTCAGAGGAGCAGGAAGCTCTCTTCCAGCTCTTCTCCCTGATCGTACGCACCCAAAAGTATTTTGTTGGGTTTCTGAGGGGAACTGAGGGGAACGTCTGTTTCCTCGCCTGGTACTTCAGTTCTTTTGGAGGAGGGTTTGTGGCATGGCCAGCACGTGCCTGCCCTTCCCCGGCAGCCATGGAGCAGCGGGGGTTTGCTCCCCACCTTGGCCACGTGCTCGGGCCAAACCTCAGATCGCAGAGCGGGCAGCGAAGATGGATGTTCATTATTAGAAGATGAAGGAGGGGATTGTTTATCTTAACTAGCCGTTTGTTCGGAGAGATACAGGGTACTGCCACGCTGAGGATGACATGCCTTCCCCGTCTTCCCTGGGATTGACTCCCTAATTAGGAGAAAAACGAGCCAGGGCAGAGGAGCGGTTCTCAGTGCCCTTCTAGGAACACATTGCCCACCACAGGTCTCGTGGTCGTTGCTCAGACTTCAATATACCCCCAGGTCTGCGAGAGCGGTTTTCCTGATCCGCTGCTACGGACGCTCACACGGAGCAACGTTTTGAGGCATCCTCCTTGGTCGTTGGCATCCCAAGAGAGCTTCGCACTTTCATTTCATTTCGTTTCATTTCTCGAGCAGTGTGCTTCCCCCGGCTCTCCCGTGTGCCTCGATGTCTTCCGTGACACCATGTGCACATTTATTCGTGTTTAATTGGAACATGTGAAAAGCTCAAATATGTAGCCCGTTCTGCTCTTTCGAGAGAAAAGCCACAAGTGACTAATTAGTCCATTTGATCATCTGGGTGGTATTTATACATATTTGTTCTCCCTTAGTCAGAAACGTCTTAGTCATGTTTGAACTATGCAGTTGCTTAATCATATCGATCAGAGCAAAGTTGAGTTTCCTCTGGAAGTTCTGGAGTTTTTTCTGAAACTGCAGCTCTGTGCGGCACAAACTCTCAACATTTGTTTTTTTTCTGGTTTTTGCCTCACCCGCGGTGGGTGCTTCAGGGGGGAGGAGATTCCTTCTTCCTGGGTCGTAAGTGTTAGGCCTGTTGGTCACACCTCTGGGTTGCGCTGCAGTGGTGCTCATCCCCCTGAAGTTCTGTTTCGGAGCCTCGCGAGGTCAGAGGCACAGTATGTAACACGCTTCCAAACGCCAGCTCTCGTGTCTTCTCTCCTTGTTGGAGGAAGGCGAGGAACGTGCACGGAGTCAGGCTGTGCTCTTCAACAGCGACACACGCTGCCGGATAGCGCAGAAGAGTTGAAGCTCTTCCCTGGAACGCTGCCTGCCTGGGCGAGAGAACAGAAAGTTACAAATTTGATAAGTAATAATTTGCCAAGCTACGGTGGTGATTAGGTGGAGAGTGAAAGTGCTTCCACTGATTGCTGTGAAACCGCCTATCAATGGATCCGATCGATTGAAAGATCAAATAAATGCTGGTGGCCAGTTTCCTCTAGTGGATTTTACGGGTTTTCCTGAAGGTTTTGTCTCCTGTTAGTGATCAAAAAATGTTTTTTTCCCCATCAAGTATACGTTGCGTTGTCTTTCTCGTTGCAGTCCCGCCGCGCAATTTGGTGATCGATATCCAGAAAGAAGTCGCCGTTGAGGGAGAAGAGATTGAGCTGAACTGCACTGCCATGGCCAGCAGACCAGCCACCACCATCAGATGGTTCAAAGGAAACAAGGAGCTCACCGGTAGGTGTAGCCTCTCGGTCGCTTGCTTTTTTCTGCTCGCTGAAATGATTTATGTAACGCTGGGTGTTTGCTTCTCTGTTGCCAGTTTAAAGTGGGGGGGGAAGACAAAAAGAAAGAAAAAAAAAGCAGAGCGAGCTGCTTTAAACGCCAGCTCAGGAACAAAGGAGCATGTGGGCAGACAGATTGTTCTCAAACGCAGAAGAGCTGAGCTCTGTTTTGTCCTCTGCCCACCCGCCAGCCCGAGCGCCGGGTTCGGGAGTCTTTCCGTGCCTGCGGGTCACCCCGGGGAGCCGCCGAGCTGCGCGTGGAACCTCTCCCTGCCATGGTTTGTGCAGCTTTCTGACCCTCTTCAGGATCGGCCGCGCTTTGGGCTGTAAAGAGTTTCAGTTCCCCTTCACGTCCAGCTCTCTTGTTTACAGGGCTCTTTCTCTGTGTTCTGTTGAATATTCATGTGGGATGAGTTTCTCCGACTCCCTGGAGTCTGGTTGCTTCCGGTGTTTGCACATCGAAGTCGCTGACTCTGATTGCACGCGACGTGCTGTTAGTTTAGGTCTGCACCTAGATGTGAGCCCAGTTGCCAACACCTTTGTGCTTTACCCAGCCCAAGAGAGCGAAGGGCTCTCTTCAGAAGTCCGGACTCGTTGCTCCAAACCCCCTCCACGAGGACAAGAGAAAATCCTCTAAGTCCAACATGTACGAGCACCCGGGCAGGACACGTGCTGGGAGCGGGCTGGTGCAGGTGGAACGCAGACCCGCCGCGCAGTGCCACGCTGATTCCCAGCACCGCGTGTCGGCCCAGTGGGGTGCGGATCTTCCATCTTCCCTTTCGGGGGCTCCTTCCCCGTTCCAGTGGGCAGCAGTGCCATAAACAGTGTTTGACCCATTGCGCTTGACCTGGCAGATCCCCGAGTGAGCCGTCCTGTGTTGGCAGTTGGATCCCCACTCTCCCTTCTCCGCTACTAAAGTTATCTCTGGCTGTGAATTCTTAAATGCTTAAATAAAATTTGGAAACGAAGCGGAGGTGCGTTGTCAGCAAAGCACTTAAGTGCCGAGTTACAGAGAAATCCCTTTTCTCCTGTCCCATCTTTCCTTCCTGCTTCCGTGCTGTGCGCTACGGCATCCTTGGGGCAGCGCATCCCGAACCCCGCTGCACTCCAGCCACCGCTGCGCTGCTCTCCTTCCAACGGAGCGCTGCTGAAGCGCGCCAGCCTATCGATACTACTTCTAATTAAGTTAATCTGTTTAATCGCATTCCTAGCTAGTCGTTGGTTCCAGAGTGGGAGGGGATTTGTAGCTCCATTGATTTAGGGAGTTTGGGGATTTGGGGAGGCGTAAGGGGACTGTTAATCGTTGCTGCGGCGTAGTGTGGACCGCGGTTGGCAGCGACCTCGTGCCAGGGCGGCCGAGGCGGGACGGCTCGCCGAAGGGAACGT